CTCAGAATTTTCAGATTCGAGTCCTTTCAAAACCTGAGCTAGAAATAAAATTAATGAGTAATTCCCTTATAGAATTAACGACTTACAAATGAGTTAATTTCATTACAGAGTTCAGGAAATGTAGCCTCACACAGAATATGTACGAATACGTCAGTCAATCAATTCTCTCCAAGAGAAAAGGAGTGCAGGAAAGAAGATATTCAAATGTGTTTAAGTCTATGCCATAATGACAACATTATGCACCTATATTGACTGCTATTCAAGTATCTGTGTACTATGTACAACGAAACTACCATTAAAATTAATGAGAATGTGTTTTCCAGGTATTTGAGACCTTTTTGGTGCAGAGAAATCCATAATGTACCCAATTAAGTTTGGTTTATTCAGCTTGGACACCAACCCAAAGACAGCTCTTTGGACATTTTGCTCATTTTACAAGCGAAAGCGCAAAAGATGAGGCTCAAGTATGTTAATGGGTATTTAACACATAATGTTTGACATTTCCAGTCTTTCTCAGCACTTAACTTGTCACTAAATGTTATGAAATTTGCTCTCATTACACTGATGTAATCTCACAATCCATACTGAAATGTACTAAAAGACTACCTCCCCAAGCCCACCAATTACAACGCAATCAAGACACTGACGCACAACGTGGCCTTTCTAGATGATCACGGAATGCTTGATTACTTCTGTGAGCGAAATTACCTTTATTCCTTAGTTAATTTGCCTTTCACATTTGGTCTCGTAACATGCAATGTGGTTACAGACAATCATACTGGTTTACGTGCAATTGTACTCTGAGAAGTCTGAGAGGGTGCAATTCATAGAATGAGACAAAAGTGCAGTAATTGGACTTATATGTAAAACACAGACAGAGATTAAAGATCACATAGCTTAGAACAGGCAGACAATCAGGCCTGTGTTTTGTAGCCGTATGTATGTGTGGTGTCAAGCTGTTTGTTCTACTTTCTCTCTCTGAACGAGTCATGACACCCGAGCTCATTTCTTCCTTCTGTTTGGATCGTTCTGGCATGGACGGACAGCATGCCCCGGGTCTGGACGCTCATGACGGCTGTGCAGTACCTGCTGGTGTTTCAGTGTCCCTTCATTAGTTTCTCCACACAGACAGACCCACCCCGCAAACCTCCCTAATGAACACAGCAGAGGCTGAAGCCTCATCCAGACGTGGACTAACCACATGCGCTGGGCTCTGCTTAGACGGTCGTCTCATGACAAGAGCCTTTTTCTGTGTGCTGTGAGGGGGGAGGGAGACAACAGTGCAGTTAACCATTACTGAAAAAGATTCACATGGTGAAGACCATGACAGGAGCAGATATGGTCAGGCTGTGCTGTGACAGCGCCTGCAGGTAGGCAGGAATGATTGAAGGAAGGAAGGAAAATGAAAAGAAAGTGAGAACGGGATGGCAGAAAGAAAGAAACAGCAATGGCAGAATGATAGCAGGAAAGAAAGAAAGAAAGAAAGAGGGAGGGAGTGATTGCAGACAGACAGAATGAAAAGAAAGACAATGAAAAGAAGGACAGAAAAAGAAAGTGAGAGAGGAAGGAATTGATGACAGAAAGAAAGAAAGAAAGAAAGAAAGAAAGAAAGGGGGAGGGAGTGATTGCAGAAAAACAGAATGAAAAGACAGACAATGAAAAGAAGGACACAGAAAAAGAAAGAAAGAAAGAAAGGGGGAGGGAATGATTGCAAAAAGACAGAATGAAAAGATGGACAGACAAAAAGAAAGTGAGAGAGGAAGGAATTGATGGCAGAAAGAAGGGAAAAAAAGGAATAAGAAGCAACAAAGGGAAGCAACAAAAGGCAGGTTCCATGCGGGAAGGAAGGCTTGATAGAGTGATGGCAGAAAGACAGACGGAAGGGGAAAAGGAAGGAAGGAAGAAAACAAACAACCAGCCAAACAAGCAAGAAAGCAAGGAAAGATGAAATAGAAATAAAGGTAGAGAGAGCTTACAAACAAGCAACAGATGAAGAGAGAGAAAACAGGAGAGAGCGTTGGTGCTGCTTAGCTGGAATAGAGTGAAGATGGACAGGAAGAGGAAGGAGAATAAACAGAACGGTAAACGGAGTGACAGAGAAAGAGAGAGCGATAGAGGAAGAGAGAAAACGGCAGAGAAACGCATATGCTGCTGGAGGGGAGTTAAAAGGTTTGGCAGGGGAGAGGTGGGGAAAGATTAGCTCGACTGACAACTCCATTAGAGACTTAACCCCGGCTTTGATCATCGCCTGAGCCCCTCTTCAGCTAGCCTGATGCAGAAGCCCAAACACAGCAAAGATGACAGCCTCCTGAACACAGGTCTGCCTGTGATCAAAGCCATGTCTCTTAGAACTCAAGCTGCCTCGTTCTATTGCTGTTGTCCTGTGGGACCGGCAGCAGACAAACGCTCAGACTAAGAGAGAGATCTCACAATGTGTGATTTACTGAGGTCATGCTGTGTGAAACAAGACGCTATTTGCTTTTGCATGTTTTGATTGTGAGAGGTTCTGTGCAAGGAATTTGTTGTTTTCCTTTAAGGTGTTCTCTTACATTTGTCACACCCCTTTCTCCTGCACGGCTCTGATAAAAACATAAATTCTACTACAAAAACACATGCAACAAAAGGCACATGCTGTTAGACTGACATTTCAGCTGCTCACTTTCATACCAACATGTTCCTGTAAAACATATTGTATTCATGCAAATTAATTAATATGAACTGAATATGTCGCTTAAATTCACACTTATGACACGGCCCGTCATGCATGCCATTATCTGTATTACACAACAACCACAGGAAGGCATAGTGTGCAACAGTTTTTCTTGCTCTTAAGTAGCTACATTGGTTAGGTTAAGTTTTCTTGGATATTTCTTAAAGGGATATTACATCCAAAAATGAAAATGAGAAGAAGTTTTATTTATATAGTGCCTTTCCATAGCTCAAGGTCACTTTACATAGTGCTAAACAAAACATTTGTACACCCATATACACAATACAAACACATAAGGCCACATATAGCCACATTATCGAAAATACATATTAAAAAGATACGTTTTTAGTTGAGTCTTGAATGTAGACAAAATACGACTGATAGACTGCAACGGTTGGACTTAAAAATCATCATATGTGTTCTACTGAAGAAACAAAGTCACCTACATCTTGGATGCCCTGGGGGTAAGCAGATAAACATCAAATTTTCATTTTTGGATGAACTATCCCTTTAAATACAATTAAAATAAAACAATAAACAATCTTTCATTTCTATGTACTGTATATTTACATATGTTCTCTGTGCATAGTTGATGTTTTTGTGTGTGTGTGTGTGTGCGTGCGTGCGTGCGTGCGTGTGTGTGTTCAAATAGAAGAAGACGTAGTTTTATTTATATAGTGCCTTTCCATAGCTCAAGGTCACTTTACATAGTGCTAAACAAAACATTTGCACACCCATATACACAATACAAACACATAAGGCCACATATAGCCACATTATCGAAAATACATATTAAAAAGATACGTTTTTAGTTGAGTCTTGAATGTAGACAAAAACGGTATATTACGAAGTGTAAGGGGTAGCGAATTCCATAATTTCGGAGCATTAACACTAAATGACCTACCACCTACAGTGGACAGCCGAAAACGAGGAATGGACAAAAGACCAAGCTCAGATGATCTGAGAGACCGGGCAGGAGAATAGGAGTACAGTAGGTCAGAGAGATATGGAGGCGCAAGACCATTTAATGCCTTAAACGTTAAAAGTAATATCTTAAAGTGAATACGTGATGCCACAGGTAGCCAGTGAAGATCATGCAGTAGAGGAGTAATGTGAGCAGAACGCCTGGTGGAGGTGAGAACTCTTGCTGCTGAGTTTTGAACATACTGTAACCTTGCAATAAGATGTTCTTTCAAAGCCAATGAGTGCACAGTGAGTCCTGTTTTTCTGTACAGTCTTTCCAAGCGACGTCCCATAGCTTTCATTGCTCGAAGTTCCGGAGTCCGGAGATCAAATGTTTGGGATCTGTAAGATTTTTGATCACCACATATGCATTTTTTTAAATAAAAAATAGCAAAAACAGTAATATTGTATTAATCTATCTATCTATCTATCCATCTATCTATCTATCGATTTTTGGGTGAACTATTCAAGAACACTTGCTCTTGAATATGTTTAGTTATAATTAAAATTCATCTTTTGTGCTCCACGGAAGAACGTGGAAAGCAATTGAAATGACATGAGCGCTAGCAAATGACTTAGCTTACTTGCTAGTCACAGTAGTTAGGGAAAGTGTGAGTAAAAGTAAACAACACCTTTACATTATGCTTAGTTTTCCTTCATTGTTTGTTACATATAGTTTTATGTTTATGGCTGAAGTGCGTCAATGAAAGGTTAACCCAGATTATGCGAGTACAGATTATGCGTGTACAGAATGACCTAAAAATAAAAAAGTCAGCCAATATGTACTTGGTTATGCTGCTCTGACATTAATCACATTCTAGAAACTCTTTGTAAGTCAGTTAAGGTCCTGTGTATATATTAAAACCTGGCATTCACTAACATGTTATGGCTTGTGGTTTTACTCTGCCCACAACAGAAGAGTTCTCCATATTTCTTTTCCATATTTCTTTTGGGAATGTAATATTTTCAGCTGCAACTCTTTTTTGTCGATTTAACTGAGCTGGCGAAATGCTCAAACATTTTGACTGATCTAACAAGCTCTTCTGCTACCATGACATTGTATTATACCTATCGAAGACAATGTTTAATACAAGATGCGTATTACTTGTAACTAAACACATCAGAACTCCGACGAGGCAGAAATTAGTTACTAAATTAGCCATATGGCTTATTAATCCCATGATGATTTATGGAGAGGGAATAAATGCATAATGTCGTGCCTTAGTAAATGAGGAGGGACAGAAATCTTTGTCTCTGTCGAATGATTTATTAAAAAAAATTAATAGAGAGAACTTCTGTCTGTGAGTGTAAAAAAATGGGTCTTTACCTACTGGCTGGTATCCCTGCCTTGTGGGCCCACCAAACGGATTTCTGCTTCCAAAAGAGCCCGCATCAATGGATCCGTAAGACATTCTGGGTCCTCCAGTAATTTCTTGAGCAGCCAAATGGGACTAGTCTGCACAGGCAAACAAAAAATAAAAACAGAAAGCATATAGTTATAACCACAATTCTAGAAAGAGAAAGAACCAGTTAAATAAATCGTAAACAAATCAATTAAGCAAAAACATTTATTTATTTATTTTGCCAACACACCCATGGGTCTGCAGCAATTTGATGCATTTTAAATGCACAAATAGAAATAGTATATATATATTTTTTTTAATAATAGACAATCATTAATTAAATTATTATTATTATTATTATTATTGTTATTATTATTAATAATTAATACATTTTCAGTAGTAATGTTGTAATGCAAGAGTGTACAATGCAATATGCGCCATTCAGGTAAAAACATGCAATAAAATGAAACCCACATGTCTGATAGATCTACTTGAATGAAGTTAGTCCTGACCCATCTAAACTGTGACCTATCAAACTCCTGGGGCCTGGTGCATTATAAACAGAGGCACACATGCTACTTCATCAGTAAACTGGGACAGTGTGTCAGTTACATTAATTTGCAAAGTGTTTAAGGTGTGAACTGATACGTGGCATCTGTGACACGATTTCACCCCACAGAGACATGTACTTCATGTGTGTGTGAGTGCAAGCATGAATTAAACCCCTTGTGACACAGTTACACTACTCATGCCATGAATCAGTGCTCACGAACGACTCACATTCATAATAACTTTGTGAGGGGTGTGTAACATGGTTAAAAGGTTAAAGAATGCATTGGGAAAGCGTGTGTCGACCCCCTCACCCTCAACATGGTGTGCACCGTGAGATAGCAGACCTGCTCAATGGAATCACCTACAGTACCATCATGTCACAAATACAGCATCAGATGTCATCAGGGGTGTCAAACTCAATTCCTGGAGGGCCGGGGCACTGCAGAGTTTAGATTAAACCCTAATTAAACACACCTGATCCAACTAATCAAGTACTTCAGGCTTATTTGAAAACTACATAGTATGTGTGTTGGAGCAGGGTTGGAACAAAACTCTGCAGGGCTCCGGCCCTCCAGGAATTGTGTTTGAAACCCCTGATGTAGATGATGACATTTGATGCTGTATTCGTGACATGATGGTAATAGGTGATTCCATTAAGCAGGTCTGCTATCTCACTGCGCACACTGTTTTGAGGGTGAGGGTGAGGGTGTCGACACACACTTCCCCAACGCATTCTTTAACCTTCTAACCGTGTTATCGCATAAAATTCATTAATTTAATTCATTTATTAATTTCACAATTACAAAGACACAAATATACAATAAAATAATAAATAAATAAAATAAGACAAATAAGAAATGGTGCAAATATAATCTACCCATGTACACATACTAATTCACAAATACAATCATCATCATCATCATCTCTATACAAAGTTTTTTTTCCATGATCAGAAAGATACAAATACATAATAACAATAATAATCATAATTTAAAATAAAGTAGACAACCATGTGGTGATGTGGTGTAAATATAATTCAGAATGTACACATACGTACTCAATCACAAACAGATGCTACTACTACTACTACTACTAATAATAATAATAATAATAATTATTATTATTATTATTATTATTATTATTATTATTAATAATAATAATAAGTAAAGAAAATGTGTGTGCTATATTCCAAATACATTTCTAATAATTTAGTGAATAACTTAATTTTTAGCTTTTTCTCATGCCTTATAACTTCAAAATATGAGTCATATGGACCACATTTACAGTATGATCATTTTAAGATGCTTTTTTTTTTACATTTTGGCAGCCCCAAAACGTATTTACTTTCATTTTACTGAAAATAGAAGACAAGATATTCTTCAGAAATCCACCTTTTCTGTTCCACGGAAGAAAGTAAGTTATACGGTATATAATGACATGAGGGTGAGTAAATGACAATTTCCATTTTGGGGTGCACTATGCCTTTAAGCAAAAAAAAAACTTTGCAAAGTTTGAAACATTTCATATGATTAAAAGTTTATTATTAGCCATTTCTGTAGATCCAGGCAGGATATGCAAGCTAAACTCTAAAAGTGCAGAAGAATGTGTGAGGACCTGTGGAGATAATGACAGATGTCTCCACTGAAAAAGATTGTGTTGTTTCTGAAGCAGAGAGTGAAGGTGGGCGAGGTGGCCAAGCCTGCGGGAGGAATGAGATTGAAGATGAAATTTGCCGGGCCACGTGGCCAAATAATCTGATTAATTTCCATAGAGCGAGAAGATTAATTACTTTTGGCAGCAATAAAACATTTCTGTGCTTCTTGATTTTGAGCCAAGACAATGTTTTGCCACTTCTTGCTCACGCTCACTCAGATCCTGAGAGATATTTACTTAGACTATTTTTGTTTTGACTATATTTGACTACATTTTTCAATTAAAAATATTATTCTTTGCTTCTTTGCTTTGCACAGTCCACAAAAAAATAAATCCAATGTTTAACGCTGCTGTTGTTGGTCATTTCTCATTTCATTCAACTTGGAAACATGACATTTCTCTTTCACACCAAATAAGACTAAAAAGCGGGGTCACTGGACCACAAAACCTGTATTTAGCAGAGTCCGCTTGAGATCAGACTGGCCAAAACAGATGTTAATAGAAGTTGTTAATGGTATCGGAGTCCTCAGATTGTAATTAAACAATAGCTTAGTTCTGTTAAACCTTTCCAGCCCCGGGTTTGCTTTTACAAAGGCTTCCATTCATGAGTGGATGGACTGACAGAGCTCTGACTGACAGGTCACTCGTATATGAAACACAGCGGTTGATTAACTCAGGTTGATCAGTCTGTCACTCACAGTTAGACAGCTGTCTGTTCCTCTGCTAATCATGTGACGAGACAGGAAGGGGCAAGAGGACACAACTGTATTTATAAAATGTAGGCCTACTTGATCCCAATGTTTCAGGATGTAATAAATATTTGTAGCAAGTACTTTTAGTCCTGAAACATTGTAATGAAGTCATATAAGTACTACATGCATAGATAATATCTAATATCAATCTAATGGATATCATATGCAAATATTCTGCTGTAAAGTAGGATTTAGCTAAGTGGATTTAGTTTTAATATGAAATACTTTTATTTCAACAGTCATTCCACAAACATAAAAAATGTATCATGTGAAATATATTTAATGTAGGATATACTATACATTTAATGTTAATGGCATGCCAGCTTAGAGGAGGCCAAGAAAAGCATGGTTCGAAAGAGCTGTTGTGCTGTACAAGTGACCCTGGATAATTTAATTAATTGTTTTTTAAATAAGAGATACATTTGAAGTAAATTATGGATCAAACATCGCCCTTATGTAACATGGGTAATCAAGAACCTTTACCATAAAAATGAGCTCTGAAAATACACATTTCAAAGACAGAAACCGAGAGAGAATGTAAGAGCAAAAATAGAGAGAGAAATAAACTAAAAGTGACAATTCTTGGAACTCCCAGCGCTAGTTAAATTTAAGCAAATTAATAGACAGCTAAAAAAAAAATCAATTAAATAAAAGATTTCATTGAAAAAATAAAATTAAACAACTCTTTCTGGCAGGCAGCATACCCATGGACTGGCCACAGTTTGGTATGTGCAGACATTTTTAAATATTTGGCTAAAATAGCAAATAATAAAAATGGCAACTAATAATAAAAAAATAATAAATTATAATAAATTGTTAAATTATTACTGTAAAATAATAATAATAATAATAACTTATTACATAAAACTATTATTTTTATTATTATTATATTTTATGTAATAATTTATTATAAATGTATTATTGTTATTTATAATTACTACTACTAATTATTATTATTATTATTATTATTACAGCTCAGGTGATTGGGTTAATAAAAATGTTAGTGGTGATTTTATAGACCACCTTGATTGTAGGTCTTCAGCAAATAAAAATTACTGGATTATTGAATGAATAAACATCTTATAAAAACAAAAACAAAAACATCCACAAAAGGGAACAGGGGCTCACACTGTATTCAGACCTTGAAAGAAACATTGAGAGGTGATTTGAGGTGAGAAACAGAAAGCAAGAAGCAGAGACAGGAAGGAGGGAGGGTGCATATGTGTCATACCCACAGCTGCCATTGAGGTGTCTTCGGTCTCTTTTTGTGTGTGTTGTGAGCAAGTGTGGGAGAGCGAGTTTGTCAATGCGTGTTATCAGAGAAGAGGTGGAAGTGGGCCGGCAATAAATACAGCCATCAGAGGCTGTGCAGGATTGTGGGCCGACAGAATGCTTCATCACTTCCTCTCATTCTGAATTTGTCCCCTCACTCTGCTCCCCGTCTCCCATTATCACCACGGAGAGGCTTAGCACAGCACGAGAGCACACAGTCACAAAGCGGAACACTCAGGACACACAGCCACTGCTGTCACATGGCCTACTTATTTCACACACACACACACACACAGAGAGAGAGAGAGAGAGCAAGCAACAGTGTGCCCACCTGAGGGTTTATGTGAGAGTGTGTGTGTGTGTGTGTCATATCACTCATAGAGTCCGTAAACACCAGTGGTCCACAGTCTCAAAGCCTGTAATCCATATTTTCATGGAGTGATTTACAGGCATTAAGGATGTCAGACCAGTCACTCTCAATCAGCCCCAATACTCTATGGCTACATTCAGCCAGTGTCTGGGATTGACCGCATTTTCTAAAAGGTTTGACTACTACATTTTTTCAGTTGAAAGCCCAGCTGTTGGACAAATAGCTTTGCTTTTCAGGATACAATCTTTCCCCCCCCAAATACTAGTGATGTGGTACAGTGGTGATTGCTTTAAAACATCATAAGCATCATAAAATCATCATCAAGTCGAAGCACGACCTCCCCTAAAATTTTATCAGTGATGTTAACCTGTTTAGATAAGTTACATATGTGTTTCCCCTGCCATTA